TAATATTGATTGCCCAGGTCTCACCATGTGGATGTTGCTGCATACAGAGAGCTATGAAAGTTGAGAGATACTAATATTAATCACTTGAATATAAATATGAAATCAATCGGAAAACAAATTATGAACGAAAAATTCGGTATCATTTACTATAAATTTATCTAGTTGATTAAACGTAGGGAAGAGATAGAAACTCTATAGACTAACTCTCGAAAAATTATTTCTATTTGTGTTATAATTAAGGTTATAGTATTATTTATACTAATATAATTGTATTCTGTATAAATTAAGAGTATAACTTATATTTAAAAAATATTAGAAATTTCAGATATGAAGTAACAATTAATTTTTTGTAGACAAAATATGATTTACAATAAAATATAAATATAGAATATAAATATATATAATAAATATTTTCCTGATTCAAGAAATTCAATCTGATGAACGACACTGATTTTAGTTTGCGGTTTGATCTAATTTTTAAAATAAAACAAACAATAAATAAAAATCACAAGTTAAAGACCACGTTAAAGATAAAAACGTAAAACAAAGGAAATAATTAAAAAATAAATTATCAATACAGAATACCTATAACATTAAATATAAATAAATAAATTAATATATATATATATATATATATATATATATATATATATGTAATGTATAAATATATTTGTACAATATATGATAAGGGTATGTGCGATGTACGTATGTATAAAAGTCCGCATATGTGATATATGCAAAATTTGACTATGATACGAAATATGATCGATTACAATTAATAAACTATAACTAATTAAGCAGAAATTAAAAGAAAAACCAGATATATAATATAAATGAGAAATTAATTTCGTAAAAATTATTGTATTAACAAATTTGAAAGAAGGAGCGAGTTCGAACACTTCTGGAAAACTGTTTAGTCTACCGAATATTAGACATTCGTATGGGAGAATAGTAAATGTCTTCTAGTGCTCAAGGCCAAGAGTGCACAACCATATCTTTTATTTTGTTTATATGTTTTCTTGCCTTTTCTAAACTCTCCTATAATACGATGTAATTAAACGAACTTATATGTAATAAAATTTTCAAAGGAATTGCCGATTTGAGAATGATGAAATGTTAATATGTTAGATATGTTAATATCTGTGTCTGTGCATATAAATATTTTTTTTCACTGTAGCAATAAATTGAGGAAATCAAATATAATCAAATTTTATACACAATTTATGTATCATTACAAGTACTCAAAATTTTTAATCGATCGCTTGAAAAATTTTTAGAGAAAGCAAATTTGTTTATAAACTTTTTTATATTAAAAATCAACATGATCGAACCAATTTTATTGAAATTTTATAGTACACTTTTACAAGATATATAGATATTACGTTTCAATTTTCAAACAAATTGTCTGATTTATTTCAAAATATTATTTATTTCAGTATAAACGTTGAAATATTAAAATTTGAGTCAGACTAAAATCTGATCTCGCAGATCTGAGAACGTACGATCTGAGATCGTAGTTAATGCATAAAATGAGTAAAAGGAGTCAAACTATTATCAAGACTTAATATACTTAACACATATAATAGTAATAGCTACGTAAAAATTCTCATAAGAGAAAACTTGAGGGATTTAATTCATCCCATGAAAAAGAAACTGTGCTGGCTGCGAATATTGAGAAAAACCAGTATTTCGAACAGTCAAAAAAATTGAGTGGATTACTGTTTGCTCCGCGCCATCGTTAGATATACATCATTTGCGTTTTTTCTCTGTTACTCTCTCTCTCTCTTTTTATTTATTTATTTTTTGAAATCGATATTTCCATTGGCGCTTTTATTTTACGCGTTTTCTTTTCGCGAACGATTTTATAAAAAAAGAAAAACTAATATCTAGTAATTTATGTTTAGGATAATGTAGAGATAAATCAATTACTAGATGAAAATATATATATAAATGAGTGTGTATATAAATATATATACACACATACACACTTGACGTGTTAAATACATACATACACACAGTAAATAAGTCTAATCCAATTCATTGTGGACTCCACATGGATAAGTTTGAATTTAGAAGTTTGAATTGTTTTTCGAGTGGTTGCGTGCGATGCCATAGGTATTGAACACGCTTGTCATATGGCAGGGCACGTGCATCGACGCCAAATTTGTCGCAGGACAAACAACGAATAAAACAAGTCTTTCTCTAAGAGGACTGTCTATCTCAAACAAAACTTCTCTTCTTTGTTGGTGTCACCCTATTAAAAGAAATACGATTGGATCGAGGATATTTCGCGATATATTAACTTTGATTGATATGATGTAATGACAATAAAATATTATTAAATAGATAGGCTACATTATAGGCAAAGTTGTTTTAATGATCGATTTTAATGATATGCATTAAAATATAAGGAAAGTTTAATTAAACATATATAACATATATATACATATACATATATATATATATATAAACAGAGAGAGGGAGAGAGAGAGAAAAAATATTAGAAATTTCGGAATATAACAAGTACTTATTTATCTATGCAAAAAATATAATATTATTAATCATCAATTTCTTAATGTTATTAATTGATTCGTTAAATTTCATAGATAGTATGGTTGGTTATTAAGAAAAGTATAGATGTCAGGAGAACGAGAGTAGTAGGATCAAGAGTAGAGAAAAAGGGGTTTGCGTAATCCAAGATAAGAAAAGGCGTCAGAGCATCGACTGCATCCTTGTCACGGAGTGGTTGTAAGTGAATGAAAGTGGAGAGAAGATAGAAGAGACGAAGAAGAAGGTGCGACGAAGTTGGCTGTCTCTGATCTGTTACCAAAGACCTCTCTCTTTCTCTCTTTCCTTCTTTTTCTCTCTCATTCTCTTTCTCTTGCTCTTTCTCTCTCATATTTAATGAACTCCGTCGTCTTTAAGGGAGTGAGCAGGTAGAGCCGTCAAAAGCTAACGCGACTACGCCTCGCAACTACCCTCCACTACTGGCAAAGTATTACCAGCAGGAACAGCACCCTCTAGGAACGAGTCGTTGGGGGTGGAAAACGCCCTCGATTGGCGTGGTCGTCGCTAAGCAGGGAGGACATCGCGCAGCCCCATTGGCTCTTCACGAATCCATACTCTCTATTCATTCGCGATCCCATTCGTCGACCTCTCGATTCGAAATCATCTCCTCTTACACCTCCTCCTCCTCTTCCTCTTCCTCTTTTTTTTAATTCTCTTTATCCTTCTCCCTACCTCCCATCCTCTCACTCTCGTTCTCTCGTTCTCTCTTTCTCTCTGTCTCTCACTCTCTCTCTTCCCTTCTCTTCATCGCGAACGCAATTCGCCCCTTAGAGCCGCCTTTTCAAAGGCTTTCACCTTTCACCCGACGTTTCCAAGTAAATATCTTCCTAATAAGCGTACACGTTCGCGCGAGTATGTACATACATATGTACGTTAACTTGCTTCCTAGTTCTGAAATAACAAGATTTCACTAGCAGCATTTTGTCAAATGATTTCAACTTCTAATTTTTTGTTTTGGGTTATATATATATATATATATATATATATATTCCTTTTTTACATCCTTACGAGGGATATGTATGTGTGTGTGTATGTATGTATATAAATATGTATATAAATATAAATAAATATATATATATATATACATATATAATATATATGTATATTATATATATATATAATATATATATAATATATATGTGTATATATATATATATATATACATATATATTATATATGTATACACACATTATATATATGCGTACACACACACATACATGACATTTTTTAAATAATATATATGGTATATATAGTTTATTATGTGTATGTGTATCTACGTAGAAACATGATTGGAATAGTTGTAATTTAAACTTAAAATGTGGTTAGCGTCGTGTGATCGATAATTCGAGAAGAGGCGAAGAGATAAGATCGGAACGGTGAATAGAGAACGGCTTTGGATTGTGTCAGAGTTGAGAAGGATGGTGGAAAGTCTGGAGAGACAAAAAGAATAGAGGATAGTAAGACTTTGGTCGGTTGCCTGCACTTTTGACGTCGGCGCGTTCGGTGTCACCTCGAGTTCGTTTTCATAGATAGAGATAGAAATAGATAGATAGATAGATAGATAGAAAAAGAGAGAGAGAGAGAGAGAGAGAGAGAGAGAGAGAGAGAGAACAACCGATGATGGCAAGGAGGCAAACGAAAGAGAGAGAAAGAGAAAGAACAAGCGACGATGGCAAGGAGGCAAACGAGATAGAAAGATAGAAAAAGAAAGAGTGAGAAAGAGAGAGAGGGGGAAAGAGAGAGAAACAGGGTGTCACAGGGCAGACGGATGTCGAGCAACCACGGGTAGGCGTGCTGTCCTGGCGTTGCTCGTTGCTCCGCCCGTTGCACCGCCCCATTTTGTGTTCCTTGCGATCTTCGGCCTCCCTTTTGGCAGCACCACCACCACCAACAGCAGCGACAAACAGCGGCGGTGGCACAGCCAGCCTGGGGAAAAGCTCGTCCGAGAGTTCTCGGCAGCGACGACCGCACATACACGTACTTACTCGTCGTCCTTCTAACCGGCGATCACCGACAATCTTTCGTATCACGGATATCAACCGCGTTCGGCTTTTAGATTCTCGAAAGGGAGAAAGAATATCGAAATTATTTTTTCGAATAATCGGTGAAAAGAAGATTGAATATTTGTATGGAACTATTTGTGGAAGCTTAACAATCGTCGATTATTATTATTATTGTTATTATTATTATTATTATTATTATTATTATTATTATTATTATTATTATTATATTATTATTATCATTATTATCATTATCATTATTATTATTAGTAGTATTTTTCTTTTTTTTGTCACTAAAAGAAAGAGTTTGTAACGAAATCTTTAGTGAAATTGTGAAAAAGAGAAAATTGGAGAGAAAGGAATATAGATAAATAAAGAAAGAGAGAGAGAGAGAGAGTGAGAGAGAGAAAGAGAGAGAGAGAGAGAGAGAGAGAGAGAGATAGATACAAGAGACCTTTGGATTGTTTAATAGAAAGTGAAAAGTCGGCGATGAAAGATCGAAAAGGTTTCAAAAGTATCGTGCGGGATCGAACGTTCAAACGCTCATGCTAATGCCATTTCGAAGATGTCGTGAAATACGTGCAATTATTTTATTAACTCTTCGAAATAGGCCTACCTTCCATTTCCAAAACGTTCGTGTCTCTATTCAACAAGAAGATACTTTCTTTTTATCTTTCTGGGATCATCAACTACAACTCTTCAACGGAATTGAGAATTCCGTTCTAAGGCGATTTTTGGATTGATGAAAGTGTCCGACGTTAGGGGAGAGAGGAATGGTGTTGTGATCACGGCGTTGTGCGCTCGAAATTCGTCGGATCTTCGCCGGTTCTTCTTTGATCTTGTAAGTACCTACGATTGGTATCTTATTTTCATTTTTGTTGGTTTCTTCGTTTGCTTTTTTTTTTATTTCTTTTTGTTTTTTTTTTTTTCGATAAAGTACAAGTTGCATTGAGACACATCTTAATAAAAACATCGAAGAAAGATATTAGATATTTATCTTTTCATTAAAAGATGACTGAACTAAATTAATCTACGAAAATGCGTATATCTGTTTACGAGGTATATAATTATATAAGAAAAGAATCATTCACTCGTATATAAATTGAACAAACTTTTATAACTGTTTGTTTCTATTTACATTCTACTTACCTACGTTCTACTTACGTTATGGGTTCTACTGATTAGCGAAATTAGCGAAATTGGTATCTATATAAAATTATCATACATATTTTTATAATTATTATACAGATGATTAGAAGATATCTAATTAAGATGCACAGTGGATAAAATGATAAAAAAGATTTTTAGTAAATTTGAAAAAAATTGTCATCATTTTTTTATGACGCCATTAGAATGTATTTATTAAGCTGGTCTTTCAAATTGAAATAGTAATTAAATTTGTACAATATTAAGAATAATTTCTTCATATTATACTTTTGTAATTTTTCCCATTGTACGGACACGTCAAAAGAGAATGATAACTTCTCTGAAGAATCGACGGCCATAAGCCAATAGCTAAATAAGAAGGTTAGCCATTACGAATCTTCAGACACAAAGTTACCGTAAGAAGAATTAAATGAGAATTATGAGATCATCAGCTTAGCAAAATTAGCCAGATTTCTTAATTGGATATAACAGGGATAACGGAGCCTTTCCTTTTATCCGTAAATCGAGAAAAGGGATTAAATCACCCGACGCGTTTGGCAAAGTCGAATGGTCCAAAGAGTTCTTAATCCTTTGCCAATAAAATGAATAGACTTTTAAAAGAATCGACAAGGAACTATTCGTTAATACATCTTTCTCTCTCTAATTAAAAGTATAGTCATAACCATTAAGAGTAATATTAACGGATGCGTCAACTTCATTATAAATAATAAAAATACTATATATATTAAACATAATTACGTTCTGTTGGTTAATATAAATATTTGACAGAACGTTATATATACTCATGTTTCTGTTTCTTTTTCTTAACGAAATCTTATAACAATATAATATAAAAATAAGGAAGACAAAAAAAAATAAACAAAAATAAAAAGGGAACGTTTAAAAAGAAAGGAACTTCCATCCTCATCGCTCTCTTTCTGTCGCTCTCTTTCTTTCTCTCTCTCTCTCTTTTTCTCTTTCTCTTTCTCTTTAGGAGAAATGCTCAACATATGTATGTAGGTATACTTGGAACGGTGCTTGGAGGATCGTTAATGGAACGGCGGTTCTGTAGTGGCACTGGAAATTAGCGAACAATTAGTTCGGCTTGGCGATGTTTTATAAACACGATGCCCATCGACGAACCATTATTTTGAAGGATTCATCGAGCATACGCCTAGCAAGTTTTGAACTACCTTCACACCGGTACATTTTCTATATATTATATGTACACATACGTACATATATAGAACAACAACTACGTGTATATGTATATATGCGTACATATATATACACAGGTATATATACATACATATACATAGATATATATATATATGTAGACATATATATATATATATATTTATACATATATTGTTATATATGTATGCATATTCGAAGAATGGCTGACGTCGAGTACGTCGGAAAGTATCCGAGTAGTATTCGGTATATTCGTCGTAGTCGTTGTAGTTGTCATTGTCAAGCAGTATACTAAGCTCAGGGTAGTAGGTCTTTCGAGTGTTGCCTGCTCGAAAAAAAAAGAAAAAAGACAAGGAGAGGGAACGGTTCGAAGAAGGGGTTCTCTTGTAGTGTTTCGATGCGTTTCAAAGAAGGAAGAGGAGGAGGAGGGAAGGGGTTGGTAGAGGCCTTAGTTGCAAGATGGCTTGGGTGTTGCAGCCTCTTGAAAGCTCGTGCAAACACTTGGGGACAGGGCGTTCGCCTGGTACAACGATTAATATCCCAATAAGGTCTCGTTCACCAACGATGCTCCCTCGAACGAACCGAACGATTCCGTTTTTTATTCTTTGTTTCACTGCGATGGATAGATATAATACTCCAAGAAAAATATTGTTACATTTTCTTAAAACTATATTCATTCTGAGAGATTTAAAGAGGGGGAGAGGAAATCAAATAATTAACATTATGTAGACATTTAGGTATATAATTAACTAGATAAATAGAATAAGTAATCCATAATAATAGATGAGTTGTCTAGAATGTTTGTACCGCATCTCCGCTCGCATATATAAGTACATGTGTATATATTAAATTATGCAAATATGTATATATGGAAATTATGTCGGTATCTACATATACACACGTTTAACTAAAAACCTTTAGTTTAATGTACTATAATGAAACGAAACATTTAATCAAATCTTTATCAATGTTTCCTTTCTTCTTTTTTCAAATTCTGTCATTTATTTTTTAATAGTTCTAATCTCATTAATGTCTTGAAAACACTTTCCTGACAATTTTGGACAAACAATATTTATTATACCTATATAGTATAGGTATTATTATATATGGTAGGTATCTATGGATAAGCGAAAATATGGAAAAGAATCTTTCATAGCTCGTTCCAGTTTTGAAATCAAGTTCGACAAATCGACCGATTTATAATCAAGAAAGAAAGAGAGAGAAAACGAGAGAGCAAAGGAGAGCATAAATATTCGAGAACGACAGGAAAAAGATATCGCAGCGGACGTTAGCGACGGGTAACGAGGAGGCGTCAAATTTGTCAGGGAACGTTACGAGGGCACCTGACGAATCTACGCGCCGGCTGACGAGCGCGTGTTAATTTTCTGAAGGAGTCACGCGATTACCATGCGTTATCGCTCAGGTTGTATCTTTTATTTGTAAGGCGTCAACGTTAAGAGAAGAAGCAAAAGAGGGAACAGTTAAGAAAGAACTGGGACATTAATTGCCGACGGCTCTCGACTCTTCGTTCAGAGATATGGCCATGCGTTTCCAAAAACGAGATATCGATTTATTGGCTTACGCAGCCGGTTGTAGTGAAAAGCTGTTTCTTACTTTTAAAAGTCAAATTTAAACCTAAATTTTATTGGTACGTCATATCGAACGAATTGCCTTTTTCATATAAATAACATCTATAGCTTCCCTTTATAGTAAATTCGTTATTAATGATCACAGGATTGTCAAACGGCGATGATATGGATCAATATCATCTCAATTTTATTTCAATCTTACGATGTTTATATGTCAAAGAAAAACAAAAAGACAAGAAAAAGAGGAAATGAAAAAAAGAAACACGGCATTTTATGCTACGCATTGGATTCGTCTCTTGGTAAAAACTGGAATAAAAAAGTGTTATTGAAGTATAAAATAATAACGTTTTCTTTCTCTCTCTTTCTCTTCCTTTTTCAAGAATTATAATTTGTCGTATATTTTATAATATTAGGGGGACCGGAAAGTAATGTTGCTTTCTTAAATTAAATTCAAACGAATAAATTTTTAACAAGTTTTTATTTTTAATCACAATCAAATATCGACATGCGCAGAAACGACATTACTTTCCGGTTCCCCTAATATAATATTTATACTTATAGGTTGAGATACTTAACATATATATTTCGAATAACTTTGAAATTATACGTTTTATATCAGATGTGAAAAATTGTTTTATATGATGCTAAATATTAAAAAATTCTTAGAAATTCTTTCTTCTTTCAAATTTTTCTCATAAAAGTTATTCCAAATTTATATTCTAGATCTTTCACATTGTATGTATGTATGTATATATATTATGTATGTATGTATATATATATATATATATATATATATATATATATATATATATATATATATATACGTTGCGATATCTTTTTGAAAAGAAAAGATTTTTCGAAGCGAACAGTACCACCCTCATTTTCTTCGTCCTCATCGTTTTCCTTTCTCTCTCTCTCTCTCTCTCTCTCTCTCTCTCTCTCTCTCTCTCTCTTCTCTCTTTCTCTCTTCCTCTATCTGTTTGAATGTCGGAGACCCAGGTATTATTACGCTACTTGATTTCGCATCGAGCCAGCTGTCTCCGATTATTCGCTATTGAAGTTTCGGGGATTTTCGTTCAAAGGGAAGCCCGCGATCCTCCGCTAATATTTGAGGAGACCGTGCACTATCCTCGAATCGAACGTTGCATCATGATCGTCGATATATTCGTTCATGACCCCGGGCCCATTTCTTCTCTCTCTCTCTCTCTGTCTGTCTCTCTCTCCCACTCTCTCTCTCTCTCTCTCTTTCTCTTTCTCTCTCTCTTTCTCTCTCCCCTTTTCTCTTTCTTTCTCTCTTTTTCTCTCCCTCACTTTTTTATCGTTATCGTTTCGACCATAAAATAACACGAAAGAAGGACGTTTGAACAAGTATAATTTTCAGAATAGTTTGGTAATCGATATACATTATATTATACTTATATATAAAACTATATATATATATATATATTTATATACATATATATTACAATATATATAATATATATATATTATATTATGTACGTCGTGTGTATACATAGGGATGGCCCACTTTTTTTTCAAAGCTTCAGAAAATTGTCAATTTAATTAATATTCAAAGATAAAAATTATATTTGTAAAAGTGGATACATGAACAAATTATATTTATATACATGTATATTAAAATTAAGATGAAATTAAAAAATAATTTTAGATTAAGAAATTAATTCATATAAAAGGACATTTTATTGTTCAAATAAACAAAAATTTTAGACATAATTCTGAACAATATTTTAAACATAACAGGAAGAAATTATTTCTTTTGGTTGCATAAAATTTCTCTACTGAGATCAAAAGACAAAAACGTTGAATATTCTTTGAGAAATCTTTTACCACATCTCACACATTGAATCCATTTGTCTTGTTTCAACGTACAGCTGTACTGCTTTTTACGCCT